AGCTTTAATAATTGCTCCCTTCTGCTTTAGCTATTCTCCTTGATCCAGTCATCGTAGAATAAAGACGTAACCTTTACCATTGAGAATCCGTGTAAATTACATTTCGCTCGCAGCATTTAAATATTTAGTTAGAAGAAAGAAAACGTACAGGTAGACCAAGACGTTTTGTCATTGTTGAATCAGAATCTGTAGAAGTAAGAAATTACAAGCACTCGTTTGTTTGTACAAAGTCGGTACCTAGAACAGTTGAAATTAAGCTAAAATATTAAAACACTATCTTATAAGAGTAATCACGTTGCAGCCACTGCTTTGTTGTTAAACATTTTTTGTAATGTGTTTAATTTAACTACTTAACTTTGGTATAATCAATCTTAGTTAGCATATTTGTTTTTAATAAACTCTGGTAATCTACTTTAATAAGCAATTGAACTTTAATAATAGCATAACCATATACATTGTACTGGTGTAAACATTCATATTATTGCTCTACCTATACTTTTGTAGTAACTTAAGCGCTTCTAGTAATAATACTCTATTATAAAAATTACACTTTTACATATAAAAGAATACAATAAGACACACTAGTGAATGCACTGTAACATAAGTGAATTTCCATTTGTTTAAATCATTTCAGAATTTCTACCCGTCCTACAGGAAGATACTTGGTCATTTTCGTGAAACCTAATATGCGCCTTTAAATGAGTCATTTTATAGGATACTACCTTCGAATCCTCCAACTGCCTCAGATGGCACCATTCCATACTTCCATAGTCCGGTTGACCAAACGGCAATGTGTACTTGGCACCTGCACAACAGTTACCCAGTCCGTAGATGATGATATTGACGATGGGCTTCTAATCAGCTAATCGAAAGCAAAATTAACAGGAATATGATAACAGTTTTTGGGTTTTGCGGAGAAGTGTTCCGACATATCGAGTTAAAGAGAAACAAGTAATATTTTGAAGTAAATATTGACAAACGGTATTTTCCTAAATGAAACAATCATATACGCACGCTATGGTGCAACTAAAACAACAATAAATGATTTCAATCGAAAAGGGAAATGGCAATTGGTTAATTGAAAAATACTTATCAGATTGTTTCCGCAATAGCTGCACATAAAGCACTTTGAAGCTGATGAGATTGCGATTCTCCAGAGAAGGAAAAAACAGTTTCCCATCATCAGCGTACATTAAGTTCTGACTGGAACTCATCACGGATGGGAGATCATTAATGTATAAACTAAATAAAATGGGGGCTAAGTGGCTGCCTTGAGGTACGCCAGACGTCACGGGGACTTCATCCGAGGTGATGAAGTTACACACAACCCTGAAGGATCTATTGTGCCGATAAGAGCTTATCCATTTCACTAAATAGAAAGGGAAGCCAGAGGCTTGGAGTTTAAAGATAAGTAAGCTATGGTTAACCCATATCAAATGCTTTGCTTAAATCAGTGTACATCACATCTGTGCGAGAGCCACTAGAAAAAGCCATGATAACATGACAAGTGAACTCTAACAAGTTAGTGACTGTAGATCGCGCTTTCCGAAAGCCGTGCTGGTGCGGAGAAATATACGAATTAATGGCAAAGGCCAAATGCTGAGTCAGAATTCGCTTGGGCAAGACACTGAACTTGACTATACCTCTGTAGTTCTCAAATTGTCTACTTCCACTCTTGTGGATAGGAATAAGGAAACTACTCTTCCAACACGAAGGGAAAACACCTAAATTCAAGGACAGGTTAGAAATCCTTGAGATGACACCACATAACTCGACAGCGCAAGATTTAAGTACACATGATGGAATTCCATCAGGTCCTGGCACACAACAATATTTTTTTGGAGAACTCAAACCTTTAAAAACGTCATCTTCCGAAATTACCAAGTAAGGAATTGAGACAGAGTTAGTTATACGATATGGGTAGTTTGCCGATAAATTGAAGTTAGCAATCGAAAAGCTTCGTCGGAAATACTCAGCAAACAGATTTGAGATTCCAAAATCATCCGAGGAATCAGAGTCATTAAAAGAAATATGAGAGGGATATGTGGAAATTTTTCTTTTAGAGTTAACAAATTAAAAAAAGTATTTTGCATTAGCAAACAGAGAGGATTTAATGAACTGAAGGTATCTGCAGTAATAATGGTGGTTGAGTGAGTTAAATCTATGCCTCGCCACCGAGTAAGCGACATAGTCGAGCGCAGAGCCACTTTTCGAATATTTTTTGAATAGCAAGTTTTTTCTATTCTTGTGATATTTAATTGTCTTATTAAACCACGGGAGACACCTGCTTCGAGGTCGACATTGCTTGATCGGAATAGATGCAGAAATAGCTAGATTTAATGTATTGTAGAACGATGACAATAAGCTTTCAATACTTCCGCAATACTTTAGCAATACAATATTGATTTTATGAAAATCATAACATTTATTTTAAAAAGTTTGATTTGGCACATTAAGGCAATTCAACGAACCATCATTCATATGTTGAACGGAAGTGCACATTGATGGATGATAAGGGTCCTCAGGTAAACTAAAGGGGGCCACGATTTACGTTAATCTCAGGAAAGTTGGCAAAGCAAAGATCAAGCAATCTACCATTACAATTAGAGGTACGATTATATTAAAACAAATTGTGATCTAACAATTCATTAAAGAACACAACAGCCCTATCAGACGTTTAACGATTGTAATATACCAAACAGACGCCGGCACTAGCATAATTGTGTTCGCTAAAAAATAATGTTTCCGTTGAGCGTCATGCCCCCGAATATCAACACATGTGGCGATTACTTGAAATTACGTATAAATAAATATACAACTTGCATTAGATTACTGCGGCAATGTAAATAAAAAAACTTTAATTTTGTTGCATATATTTGCGTTGACAAACAAAATAAGATTATTATATAAAATGAAGTAACAAAGTTTATGATTGTGTATAAAACATGGGGAATTTTTTGGACCGCCAGGTTAACACAATTACATACAAAAAAATAAGAGAAGATTTATATATGTGAAAAAAATAAATAACTAACGGTGTGTCTTATTTAACAATCTCATACTCTGTTGAAGTTGGCCTTTTATCCGTTCGCCCATATCTATGTATGTATGGTTATACTCCTACGCATACATGCTTTTACTTCATTATCACGAAACCTAGCATATATTTAAATCATGATGTTTATCATTTTCATTTTTTCTTCTATTACTACTTCTTAAAACTAATGTGATTTATTTATTACTTGTTGTGCGTTTTGATTTATTTCTTACTTGCTGTGGTCCTCTATCCCATTACTTTTTCTTCGTAATGCCGTGTCCTATTGCTCTCCGTTGCCAATTGATGCAATCTTCTGCTTCCCTGCATTTTACAAACCCCTTTAATATCTTTTCTTTCGGACACCAATATTTGCATGCTCTTTTTCTTATGTACATATCCCAGTTTTTAGAAACTCACTGGTTTTAGTGATAATGTGCTTTTATTAGGTTTAATTTTCAAAAAAAAAAAAAATTAAATTAAAATTCTTAGTAGGACTAAGTTAATTACTGTGGATGAATTTTAATGTCAACTTTTCACAAACTTTTCTTTCATTCTTTCTTTCTCATGTTTAAAATTAAAAAAATATATATTTAAGATCACTTTTATTCGCAGAACAATCATTCTACTAGTTTATACAATTTTATTTACTAGTTAAATCAATATAATAAAATATACTTTAATTTTTGATAATTATTTTGTCAATTTTACGTTAAGTAACACTCTGACTACTCTCGTCTTATCCTTTTTTTTTCTTCTCTTCAAGCTAATTTGTTACCAAAACCTAAAGTGATCCTATAAAGACGGACTTAGGACTTTGTTCTCTTTTTATAATTCTCTGTTTAAATAGTGTCCATTATTATAAATAACGCTACTCTTTTTGTGACGAGCATGGACCAACGTGAAAAATTTCCTCCTCCTAATTACTCGTAACTTTGTGTGGACATGGCCGCTTGTTTCCACTTTTACACGTAAGGAGCAGAGTATTTCGTAAAGTAAATGTGGAAAATTTCAGCCTTCTAACTTTGGTAATTTCCAAATAACAACCAAAAATCAAAAAATTCTTCTTAAAAAAAACCGATTTGCGTTTAGTTTATGCGCCACTGCGGGCTTCTGCTCTGACCAAATTGTCCCATTTTCCATACCGACCGAACGCGGGGTTTCACACACATAGATCCACTTTTTCGGATCCCATTTAATTTAAAGATTCTAGTGAGTAAGCCCTACAGCATAAATAGTTACTAGATAACATTTTATGATGAAAATTGGTCCATATCAGCAATATAGCACACAAATTCATCGTAGAAAATTTAGGTCAAATATTTCCATTTAATAGGGCCCACAAGCAGCTCTCATCAAAGCAAGCCCTGATAAGGTGGCAAAATGAAATTTGACTTGAAAAATGAGCCCTTGAGCCCTACTAAACATAGTGTCAGTTGAAGTTTTGAACATCTTTCGATATGAGTCGTTATGAAAAATATGCCTTTACATAAGAACAATGTATAATTTTTAGTGTATTATCACAGAAACGAATGAGTGATTATATTAGATGAAGAGGCGTAGAATGTCTAATCGTTGATTCTGCCCGTAACAATCTTGGTTTTTAACTACAATAATTTTTTAAACAGACCTTTAGATATTACTAGTATTATTATTTGTTTAGACCTACGAAATAAAATGCAGGACTAAAAAGCAGCGTGAGCTAGCAACTAAAGCCTCTTTTTTGAAATGCTTAGACTAGCCTAATTGCCCCAATAAAATGGTGCATTTTACTGATTTTAGGCATTCTATGTCCCCCTTGTGTTCATTGGGCTAGAAGCTCCGAAAACGAGTCCTTGAATATGGAAAATAGTTTAGTATCACAAAGCGCATGCTTAATGGTATTTGGAAATTGGAAGAGTAGATTTCTTGAAAATTATTATCCTGCAATAGGTGAATTTTTGCAAATGTTATTTTGATTGACTGATTTTTTGACTGTGCATTTTTTTGTCAAATTTCTCTTTATTTTTTTTTTAGTGCGTTTTCGAATCTCCATTCTTTCGTTCAAAATTAGAGTGAAGTATGGGGTATTTTCCATACGTATTCAAAGTCGTTGTGTTCAATTGAGTCCAACGTTTGGGAAGTTGTCTCAAATCATTTCTCTGCTTGTTTTTCATGAGAAAAGTATTTTCATGAGAAAAGCTTCACTGAAAAATCCTCGGTTTTTAAATACCCACTACACACCGATTTTGAAGTTATGCAAAACAAAACACAGTTTCTTTGAAAGCAGATTGCGATCTTAGTCCTAAAGGAATCGGATGCGATCTAAATAGACAATTGAATATATTCACGTAAAATTAGTGTTATATCAATTACAATTATTGTAAACGCCTTATTCTTTCTTATCCATTGCTTTACCACCTGCTTCCCGTTCTTCATTTTTGTTAGAAGCATTTTCGTCCTTGGAACGAAGAGGAGACATGGATACACCCGCTGGTAAAGCTTTCTCCAAGGCTTTAACAAAATCCTCTAAATTTCCGGCATATGCAGCAGCGACGGCGTCGGGCGTCAGCTCGAATTGGGATATCACTGGGCCCAATTGTGCGGACTGCAAAGCGTTAGAGAAAAGTGATAAGGCCTGTTGAAACTGTGGAGATGCAATAGTATCTTTAATTTGCTGTTTCTTATTTTCATCGGCGTCTTTAATTTCCGGCAGGTGCACTGATAGCAAGTTAACACGTTCCGGATCAGAAATGATATCATTGATAGCATCCGAGCCGACTAGGCCAGTGGCTAAATCAATGTTTAATGAGCGTCCGGAGCCAGCTTCGGGTGAGAGGTTGGATAAGTACGAATGGAAGGCGTTGCTGTTTGTAAAAGTGTTGGAATTTTTCTTACCCCCAATTCCAGTATTATTCGAACCGGGTCCACTTCCTCCAGTGCCCGTACTGTTGGCAACAGAACAACTAATCTTATTATTTTTAGACTTAGAAGCGGTAGGTATACGAGGGCTTGCATTTATAGCATTGTCCGAACTGTGCAACGCTGCGGCACCACTAAGGGCATTGTTACGACTAGATGGTGTACGAGAATTGTCTGAAGAACGGCTGCTAGCAAAGAAATTTACATTAGATTATTTTCAATTTTTTTATAATACCACAAACTTCATGGAGCCTAGCAAAGAACTGAGACCACCCATTTGCCCAACGCCGCCAAACAGTTGCATCAACTGCTGTTGCGACATATTATTTAGCATGTATTGCAAATCTCCGCCATCTTGACCGCTACGGGAGGCTGAAGGAGGATTATTAAGAAGCTCATTAACGCGGCGGCAAAATTCCTCATCCTTGTCAGATTTAGGTTCTTGCATCCAAAAGAACATGCGGCGAGACGATGTTTTGAATTTTAGTACATAGACACGACCAGTTTTGCATTGTTCAACTCGCTTGTATTCAAAGTCGTCGGGGAAAACAATTAAATCGTCCTCAACCTATAGAAAAAAAACAGTTTTTGAACAGAACTTTTTGTTGGACTTGCAGAGCTTTACTTTTCCCGTAGTACGGTCTTTCCAACAGAAGTGCATTAAACCGTCGTCACCTTGTGTCATATAAACCAATCCTTTCCGCGTATCGGGATGAACCATTTTGCCAACCAAGTTCATTCGACCGGCCCGAAATTCCACTAAGTTGGAACCGCTGTTTCCCGTATTACTAAGTCCACCTTGACGACCAAACATCTTTTAAATTTCTTTTTAATCCTTTTTTATTACAAATTCCAGAAACAGTAAATTTTTAATAATGAACGTTTTCTTTGACCTTTATTTTATAGTATGACTGGGCAATTTCCAATTCAGTGTTGCATTTTACAATATAAACTTATATATGCATCTACATTAAATGCAAAACACAATGCTTGCGTTATGCGTGGGTTATGATCTCTCAAACTAAACTTGGTCATGTATATTTGAGAGTGAATAGGCGTACGAATTTACGTGTTGTGAAAAATAACCAGAAAGAAAAAAAATTAAGTAAAATTAAAAGTTAAACTAGAGTAGACAAATTGTAGATAAGAAAATACTCTACATTTTGTTTTTTCATCATAGGTGAATACTATATTTCATTACTTAATTACAAATGGATGGTGTATTCTTGCAAAAGAAAATATATGTTTTCATAGTATTTCCATTTCACTAATTTTTTATTTAAACAAACTACATTATTATTAACTTATATAATTTTTCAAAATATCAGAAAGTTGAAAGACTTTAAATTGTTCGACGTCAATATAACATTGCTTTTTGTTTACACGGCCACGACGATAACGCTCCCACATCATTCCTGTTATCATAATCCAAATATTTAAATCATCGCCATCATTTTGCGTTTGTCGATCAAATGTTTTCTAAAAACCCATAAAGGGTTCCTAATTAATAGTATATACTATATTATTAACTTTAATGCGAACTTATTGGGAATAATTGAAATTGTCTTCTGCTTGCAAAAAAATATCTTTTTTCTTTTTTTTAATGTTCTACTTCAATAATATTACATTTCAAAGAAATTTTTCAGTCTATCGATTTTGTACCTCTTCATAATCATTTTCGCAAATAAACGCTAACCGTGTGATATGCGTCAGCTAACCTAAGCTTCGCTGCGTCTTACCTTTTACATCGCAAATTAAAAACTCTGGTAGATCTTTATCTCCAAAAAAATTTTATGCCTCTGGTAATATCCTTCGTCATTTTCGCGAGACGTTTTTCTTGTCCATTGTCTGCAACGTACAATTTTCTTCTGTCGACAGTGTTATTAACATTGAAAAACTTGTGAATAGATTATTTCAAGATTTCGTTTACTCTCGCACCAAAATTGTGGTATTTCATTCGCACTATCTGCTTTTTTAATTGAAATTTAAAGCAACTTTCAAAATATGAGTAATAAAGGGTTTGGAAAAAACTCGTGTTCAATTTGAACTCTAGCAATATTGACTACGAAGAAATGTAAGGTAAAGATATTTGTAATTTTAATTTTTGTACGTACTGAAAAGTTATACAAGCAATTGTTTTATTTTTCATTTTAAAGTCGACTTGCAAGGTCTCACTTTTTTTCGTTTTCAATTTCTTAGTTACATCTACGGCTTCGTGTGGATGAACAAAAATTGATGTGCGCCTATCCAACGGATATTAAGGGAGGACAACGACAACAACAACTACAACAAATATCAATATAAAATTTTCGCCCGATAGTGAAAGAGTAAAAAAAGAAAGAGCCGTTTATTTGATGAAAACGCGGCAGTATAGCAGCTGGAAAGAGCAAACAATCAGTTTCTTTTCCTGATCAAAAGATATTTGAAGCAACAAAAGTGTTACTTGAAACAAACAGACTTAAATTAAGGAAATCGGAAGGCAGAAGTGGGTAAATAGGCATCGTCCATAACCGTGCTATACAATTTATTTCCGTTTTATTCAGCAGAAGTTTAATTTCATTGGCGAATTTTATATCACGGTAGTCATTGACTTTTTGTTGTATGCGCGTAACCTTACTGACTGAGTGACTGCTGTGCGCAGAATAATAATTTTTTTATGTGTATTGACTGCGTTTAATTTTTAAAACTTAAATAATTCCAATAGTGAACGACTGCAGTGAGATTATGATTTGTTTAGTAAATTAAGATTTATAAAAAATTTCATATGCTATTTCAAATAATTGTTTCGTGTATTTTGGTTTGCTTCTTGCCGTTTTTAGCGCCTTCTTGGACAATTTGAAACGTATATGACCTATTAAATATGGAAGCGGCTTGCAACAGCGAAACACCTGTTCGCGCATGCGTATTCGACGAAGAAACGAAGCAATTACGTATGCCGAAAACATACCGCTCCACTGGAGAATCCTTAAATCATACTGTTTCTAATTTGTCGGTAGATGCCGTTGCTTTTGTACCAAGTGTATTACAACATCATCAACAGTCACGAATCCAAAATAACTATTCTCAGAAATTGCCACATCAAGAGCAGCAACACACATACGGCAGTAGCGGGCATTATAATCATTCCCAGCTTCAACATCATCCAGTAATTGGTTCAGGATCTGTTCAAAATCGGCTTAGAATCAATAATCATATAAACAATGTGGGTGAACAAAGCCCTGCTGTTTACTATCAAAATCGACACTCGCAGCAGCAAAATCACCAACATCAGCTTTCCAACCATAACAATCACAATCAACAACGGCAGCATCAACAACATTACAGTTATAATAAATATGATGGTAATCAAGGTTACCAACAATACAATCATAACAACCATCACCAAAATCATCATCGTCATCAACAGCAGCAGCAACAAGCAATCAATAACGAATCAGGTGCTTCACCGGAGGGTGCAAACGATATGGAAAATATAGCTCTGGACTATTTGCAGACAGTAATTCATTGTCTCAACCAGAATCCTGGTCAATTTGACGCAATTGCTACGCGTTTTCTTACCATATTCGAGGGTATGGAAAACAACACATTCGTACTGTCAAATGCTATGGAGGATATATTTAATGAATCGATCAAGAACCCCAATTTTCGTTACATGGGTGCTAAACTATATAATCTCTTGCACATGCTAAATCCTCGGAAAGATTCTCTTTTTCACACATTACTAAAGTGCAAGTTAGATTTTCACCAAAATGAAGTGAAAGAATATATAAAGACTAATCAGCAAAACAAAGTACGTGAGACTGCTCTCTTTTTAGCTGAACTGTACATGCAGTTACGTGGTGAAGAATTTCGTATACATCTCATAGCTGAAAATATAGTATATTCATTGAAACAGCTGCTGTCTAAAGAAAACGCCGACAATGTGCGTTGCATATGCTTAACTTTAAAGTTGGCCGGGTATGATTTGACTGCTGATTGCCCAGGCGACATGAAGGAAATCATCGTTGAGTTGAATGATATTAATAATAAGTCACCAGGTAAATATCCGTTAGCGGCTAATGTCATTTCCCTTGAGAAAAACAATTGGGGTAGGAAAATATCCGGCTCTGAATCGCCAATTGAAGGTAATAAACTTATGGAACCACCCCGATCTAGTGACGACCCCGTCTTTTATGGTCCTGATGGCAGTGTAATTACTGACGAGGAATGTGAATTTTTAACGATTAGCGCCAATGGTATTCCTGGATCCATTGATAACGACGAAATCGATAATGATTCTGACGTTGATCTTGATCCCGAAATGGACGAAGAAACTGAGCACGCCTACAAAGAATTTATTAGACAAAGTGCCAATTCATAGGTAGTTTGATACAGACGGCCGTCTCACATTGGCTATTTGCGTACAAGTGTGTAGAAATATTGAGCACAGAAATTACAGTTTACTATCCAATATTCTGATTTTTTGTTTGTATTTGATTTATCTATGTATTCGTTTATTTCACCCATTTTTAATTAGAACCATGGAGTGTTCGTAGTTCTTCATTCCTTGTCTAATCGCCTTTCTCACTGTCTACGGCGGTAACAAAAATCGAGTTCCTTTAAACTATTGTATATCCACTCTGTGTTTAGTTGTCAAAATTGTTGTTCTATAACTTTAATTTTCAGAAGAAAAAATTTTACATATACATGTATGCATCATATATACCTAAAATCAAAAACTTGTCCGAATTTTAAAATTTTTTCTAAAAGCCATAAAACAATTTCTTTCTAAAAAGGCAGGAAGGGAATATGATTAGTGAAACTGCTTGAAAATTCGAAGCATGTTCAGGGAAGCTTCTGTATTTTGACAAGCATTGTGACTTGTAAATAGCTTTGTCCGTGCATGTTTACTAGCCGATAAAACAAAATGAATGTCGCTGCTGCTCTAAAATTAAATATATTTTACCTTGTTATTTTGGTAATTATGGTTATTTAATTTTTTCTTTTCATTCATCGCCTAACGAATGGGATAGTTTTTAAGTTTTAGAACACAAATAAATACTCATCGATGGTTCCATAAATATTATTCAGCGCGAATTTTTGGTTTGATATAGTAAATTGAAATGAAGTGTTATTTTCAATTCAAAGGGATACCAATGGAAAGCGAGGTAAATAAAGATATACGCGAATAAAAAAATTTATATAAACGAAGACACGTAAAAAACTAAAGCCAAAAAAAAAAAATTTTAATAAAAATTTAGTTGTTTCGAACATAATATTACTGATTTTAATTATGAATATTTATTAATCTTATTCCGTTGTCAAGACATTTAATTTTAGGGTTTATTACTGTTAATTGTGTGAAATGAAAAATAAATAAAGTAATTTTCTCTCCTTATTACAAGTAAGCGCATATAAGAATATCTTTTTTTTACTCTAAAATCATAATCACATATTTATAATTTTTATACAGATGTTCATGTATTGATAAGTAGTTTGTTCACGTAAAAGGTAACAAGGCTATTTTAACAGTCTCATCCATCTATATGAATTTCATCTTTCCTCCTGGGTATCTCATTGGGGAACAGCAATTCCGAAGATTTAGAGATTCCCTTATTTGATTTTTATCCACATTTTAGCAAAAGTACGTACATGGGAGTAGTGCCAATTAGTGAGATAGGATTCTCCCGTTCTATTTGTAATAAATTGTATGTTTTAATTATTCAGTGCAAGGTTCCCAATCCGATTTTTAGATAAGAATAATTAATTTTAAGCAAATGTTGAAACGTTCTCGACGTAATGAAGGTCTTATGTTTAGCTTTCCAATTTTTTATATTAGAACTAAGCGTGCAAGTAATATGTATGCAAATTTAGTAGCTAGAAAAATATCGCATAGGTTGGCATTTTCGACATATTTAAACCTAAAATAATCTACACATCCTATAGGAAAATGTCTATGGATATTTTATGGGTACTGGCGAGTTCTACGAGGGGGCGTTACTTTGTCTGTCAGCATTTGTCAAGCTGTACAGAACTAAGTTTTTCTTGTCAGCATAAGTTGTGCGTGAGCAAAAACTTTATGTAAATATAAGATGAAGCATTTCCACAACAAAATTATTAGAAAAGAGATCAAGGGGTTAAATTTGGAAATATGAACTATACATATATGCTAAGAGAGTTAATTTATAGGAATTCAGAGGATTCTATAACCTAGGAACGCATGTAAAAAGCTTTCAATTTAAATTTTCAATAATATATTAAGTTGACCACTTTGCTGAAGAAGTCGATGAAGCAGCAAAAAAACTTACTCGCTACTTCGTCTGACTCTTTCCAGAATAACGTGTTTCCAATGCGTCACGGTATCTACTTAATTCATATATAATTTTTAAACCCGCATTTTGAGTCAAAAGAATAAGTGAAAACCTACCTTATTTTACAAACCAGCTTACATCTTTAAAAAAAATGCGGTGGTGTGATGTTATACTTGCAATCCATAGCAGGCGCTGAAATGTGCGAAGTTTCTATTTTTGATATCGGCTTTCCAATTTTGTTTGCTCGGCCTAGTTTGTTAACTTAGCTTGTGTTACTTTATATGTGATATGTTTTGTATGCATTTTACAAACAAATGAGAAGATTATAAAGGGCCAGTTCTCAGATCCCAACGTGACCTACGCTATCTTGCTTAATCCAGGTATTTATATAACGACTTTTCAAAATAATTCGGTATATGGTAAGCGGTTGAAAAACCGCTTTGATGCAGGATATCTTCAATAGCGGTTGCCCTTGGGCTAAAACACCTCGGTCTAGCAAATTCCATCAATGTCAAAATTTTGCGACCTGTAGATTGTACATAAAAATACAAGACGAATAGACAAGTTTAGATATATTCAGAAAGCGGTTCAAAATCGATCAGTATAACAAAAGATGGATCCAACTTAAGTCCTCTGAGCTATATGCACACGGAAAAAAAATATGCCATTGCACTACAAGTGATGTAGAGCATAATAATATGTATTAAATATTGCTGCTTAATAGTTGTTATAATATTGAATTAACATTCATTTTAGCATTAAGTTAACGTAGTAACAACGATTATTTAAATAAATCTGCCTGGAGCAATATATCAGGTATGGCGTGGAAAATTGCAAACAATTCTCTAATCACTTCTTTAAAGAAATGGAGAAATAGTGAAGAGTAAAAATAACTATAATAATATTATAACTTTTTGTTAATATATTAAAAAGTACGTAGAAAATAGGGACGATTAAAAAAGCAATTAATTTGATAATACTTAAATTAAAATTAAGTTCACTAAACGGTTCGTTTCAAACCGTTAATATTTAACGGCTGAGGGCGCAAAGATTTTATTACCTCTGCTCAAACATGTAATTCTTACGTATAAGTACACAGATGTATTGCTACTATAATGCTAATTCCTTCCGGCACGGATCCATCAACACGTCATACGTAACGCACTAAAGCCTTAAGCCCAGTTAAACCTTCTGGTGCTTCCCCAGGCTTATGACGGGACCCGTAGTCTGCCTTTGCTCCTGGCATTTTGAGAACACCAACATCGGGCACTACAATTAAAGTATCCGTGAAATCATAACGATCACCTGCTTGAACAGTCTCAGAACCTTAGATAATCTCCACAGAACGCGGAATACAACCGCGTGGTAGTTCAGATTGAGTCTCTGGAATATGCACTTTTTGAAAATCAACGAAGAAACTTTTTTCAACATCTAACATGAAACGTCAGCGATTAGAACACACCGGATTACGGCAAGTGGAGGGATTTGCAAATTTGAATTGTTGTTCTACTTTGCTTATTTCCCTTTGACAATCCAAACACATAAAAGTACCCAAAACTAATTCAGGATGTACCGGATGTGTACGTACAACTCGCCTAGAAATACAAATTAGTGTACCTGTCTTGGAAGTGATTAAATCGCGCACTTTATGGCGTGTAGGCACTTCTGCAAAAGACGCGTAGCACCCTTTGTCTGCTTTCATACCAATATGATCTTTGATAAAATTTAAAACTGACTGACAAAGATAGGGATAAATCCTACAAAAAACTATTAGGCTTACAACTTAAAATCTACTTGTAACATATGTATATCATATACCGATAATATTCCCCTATTATAGTTGTAGCTATGTTTTGGTTATATTTTTCTACATAATCAAAGATGACTTTTAAAGTGCAACGATCGGGCAGCTCCAAATCTGCAGCGGCTTTTGTAAATTTTATTTCTCCTTCTTCTTTGGATCTGTAAAAAATATTTTTAATAACTAATTATATGAATGTATAACCTTAGATGCTAGTGCTTTAAGACTTTAGTTTTACAATTTATGTCTATGGTTAAATTAATAACAACAATAAACATCTACATCTTTACATCTACTTCAACATTCAACTCAGATATATTTCTGCTAAAATAAGTAAATCTTTTCATGAGATTCCTTGGACAGGGTGGTGTCTAAAGAATAGATCTATGTAGTCTAAATTTTATATAGTTCATTTTTATCCGAAATAACAACTATGGGTGAATTATCATTACAACATTTTAAAAATTAGAGTGCTAAAGACGATTAAAAAAATTCACAACAATTCGTCACATTGGTTCACCAACTAAAAAACTACTACTAAACGATTTTTATAGGGAAATTGCCAAATATATTTCATATAACGATTTATTCGAGATAAGCCATGCTATGAAGTTGGTCCGACCTACTCCAATTTCAATAGGAAGCTTATGTGAGCCAAAAGATATTATTGTGCCAAGTTTCGTCAAAATAACTCGACATTGTGACCAGTAAGTTGAACACAATATAAATGGACAGATGTCTGACGGATGGACTTAAGCTCGGAAAGCGATTCTATGTTGACGTGCAATGAAGTTTACATATATCTGAAGCCCAAATTCAAAGAAGAAATATTGCCGGAAACAGCGGTAAACGAAATAGATCGCCCTCGCTTACTGCGACAGCCCGACTGTCGGTTTAAAAACGGCGAAACGAGATAACTGAAAATGGCCACTTGTTGCAAGAGTTGCAGGATATACTGTTCTACTCTCTTAAAAGAAAATAAGTTTGGATATCAATCACTTAAAAAATTTTTCTACATTGTTTTTGTTGTTGTACAACGTTCTTAAAGAGGCATTAAAACTTCTCGCAAGCAACTAGTTGCATAGTAACTAGTTAGTGGCTAGTGTCTGACTAGTAACTAGTGACCGATTGAGTGAATGAGCGTTGCACTCATATAGGTATACTCATTTTGCTTTTTTCGTACTGTATGTCACATCCAAAAGGAATCTTCAGAGGCCCCCTAGGGTATATATATTAATTAACGTAAAATTCTGAAATGATTAAGCCACGTCTGTCCGTCCGTGCGATGTATGTTTTCTCCTGGGCGCAAAAATAAAGATATTGACTTCAAATTTGGTAGAAACATTGGAAGTTTCTGCGCGCAGATTGGTATTAAAAATGGGCCAGATTGGTCAGAGCAGACGCGCGCAGTGGAAGGTAAACTGAACGCAGCTCGGTTTTTTCTATTAAATATTTTTCGATTTTCGCTCGTAACATCAGCGATATGGGTATCAAATAAAAGGCCTTGGAGAGTAGAATGCGAGAAGTCTAGTAGTGGATACGCGAGATTTGGCTCCCGCTGAATATAACTTTCTTACCTGTTGAATATCTTAATTTGAGATGGATAGTGTTCATAATAATGTAACGTTCGCGTAAAAATGTTGGGTCTGTCGGTCTGATTTAACCACGACCACATCGCAATAGCGTAGTTGTGATCGTAATAACGGCCTGCCCTTATTCGAGAACACATTTGGCAAAAAGGAATCTCGCAACAGAGAGATCGTGAAAAGAGATGAAAAGAAGAATTTTACGAAAAGTTTTTTAGCTTTAAAAAAGTTTGCAGGGAGATGATTTGAAAAGTTGAGTAGATTTGTTCAGCCGGATAAGAAGCAAAAAAGAAAAGTTTTTTTGTTCAGGAAAATAAGAAGACAAGAACTTTGTCACGATACTAGCTACTTTTGTTGCCGGTAGAGTATATATATTTTCCTGACAAAGAATAAAAGAAAAACGAAAAGGTCCCGTCGGCTGTCTACCGTCCGTCTGTCCACCGTAAGTCAGTCTGTAACCGTCTGGCGTCTGCCCTACATATGCACACCCCTTTTTTCTCCCAGCCACAGCGGTGGCAGCTGTAACGCTTAGCCACGCATCGGGGACACAAAAACAAAAAAAAAAGGGAAGTAAACAAACTAAAACAACTTACAATATAATCCAATCGCGATGTTGTGGCTGTCTCCTTCGGCAATTTCCCCTCCTTCTACGAAACTTCTTCACCTGGATCAAACTTTAGCTTCCATTGTTGCGTGTGTGGGTGCACGGGTGTGT